AAGCCCTAGTAGATAGTTGTATGTCATAGTTGCACATCCTTCTAGTTGCTGTATGTGGAACGAGGCCTCAGCATGGCCGGAGAAGCGGTGCGTCGGTGTGCGCCCGGGATCCAAACCTGGGTTGCCAGTAGCGGAGCGAGCACGCTTAACCACTAAGCCACGGGCCAGCCCCAAGAGTGGCATTCTTTTATATTTTTGTAATTCTCTTTAATATCTGGCTCAATAGAAGATAGCTGGATTCTCATAACTGTTTCTGTGTTTAATTTGTTGCAATATGTTGTTTTGGTACAAGTATATGAAGAAAATCCAGCCTCACAAAGGACTATTTTAACAGTCTTCAGTTAGTTGTGAGTATTTTTCTTTGATACTACACCAAAACTTAAGACAAGTGGTAGTTTCTTAAAAGTGGCGATGTGGAATCTGAAACCATATAATGAACTTTTCATACACTTGTTACCTTAAATTCTATTAGTCTCTCTTGCACTTTGAATAAATCTTTCATTCATGTTGTAACATCGTGGACTGATTATTTGGAAAATATCAGTGTTCTGAATTACATAGATATTCCATATATTGGCACATTGGCACATTGCATTAATCAATATAAAAAAATCACATTCGTTAATTCATTGATCTCATCAAAAAAGTCTTACAATTGGGAAGATATCAAGCTCACAGAGGCTGATAAAGTTTAACAAAATTCGAATTCTCATTTGGAAGCTCACATTTTGTCATTGGCAATGTTCTCCTTGCAGTGACACGCTCACTTCATTCATTTTCGAGAAAATGTCTGCCAGATCACTCAGCTCAGAATGACTTTGTCAGCTATTCTTTCTAGTAAAAATGGCTTTCCATGAAAAAAGTGCTAATTCCGTTCACAACTCATCCCATGAGTGCTTTTCTAGCCAATTATTTTACTTAAATATGCAGAAATGCTTTATGCATACTTTACATTTTGTCACAGAATATTAAAAAGATGTGCTCAAGGGTTGGGCTTTAATAAATTAGTTTTTACTGCATCATTAAGGACATTTTAAGTTAAACTACCGTTTTGCTTTTGTTTTTCTTACAAGTGCATTGTGATGAAGAATACAATGACTATTTAGTTTGTATAGTTTGTTTAGTATAGTTTGTTGCCACTGCCTTGACTCATGCAAAGGTGTCATCAGTTTTACCCACCACTGCTGCAAATGTTAACATTGTGAAAAAGGCAAATGATGCCTTAGTATTATGAAAATAGTTTTGACCTATGGACCTCTTGAAAGGGGCTTGGAGACCTTCCCCCCAAGTGGTCCACAGACCCCACTTTGAAAACCACTTCTTGAGTGGTGGGTAGATCATAGTAGAAATTTTGTTATTTCTCTTTAACAAAGAATCTTTTCATTCCATTTTATTTGTGAATCTACGTGTTCCTTATACCTATAGATTTGTCATATTCACATATGTAGGCTTTATAATTATTTGAATTGTATCTGTGGAACAAATTTTTACTATGAATGATTTTTGTTTCTGAATCATGAATATAAGAGAAAGAAAACTTTAGAAGAGCTAATATAGCTAAGAGCTGTCTCCTTGTAACTTTTGTAAACTCTTGTTATACCTTACTTCAGATCCATAAGAGAACAGATTAATGATCTTGTTTAATTAATATGCCTTAACAAAAGTAATCCACAGTCAAAAGCTCAAGCATCCTTTTCTTTATTATTATTATCTTGACTGGTTCATGAATTTGTCACTGATTAAAACCAAAATGGGATTTTTATTTTTCTTACAGATTTAGGACCAATAAGCCTTAATTGGTTTGAAGAACTTTCTTCAGAAGCTCCACCCTATAATTCTGAACCTGCAGAAGAATCCGAATGTAAAATCAGCAGTTATGAACCAAACCTATTTAAAACACCGCAAAGGAAACCTTATCATCAATTGGCTTCAACTCCAATAATATTCAAAGATCGAAGTCTAACTCTGCCACTGTACCAATCTCCTTTAAAAGAATTAGATAAATACAGATTAGATTTAGGTAAGTAATGTGATGTGATAGACTGAAGAAAAACATGAGCTAGGGATTCAGACATACCTGTGTTGAAAATCCCAGCTCTATCATTATCTGTGTCATGTTGATCAAATCAACCTCTCTGGCCATCCTTTCCCCACCTGAGAAATGGAGATGGTGAAAATGATACATGATAGGTTTGGATTAAATAAAATAATGTATGTACTTAATAAATGTTCCTTTTCCTCCCTCCTTTGATTAATACGTCCTGCCTACTGAGATTTGCTAAATTATATCTTTCCTATACAAAAAAACTTGTTTTGATGTTAAACTAAACTATACTTCTGCAGGCTATCACAGGACAGAAGATTATTTTTATCAATTTGCTATAAATGTCTTTTGGTTTGGTAGCAGTTTCCCTGGCCCACGTGCCAGATATTTTCAGTCATGTAATAAGGTTATATATTCATTCATTCAAATATTTATTACCTACTTGATTTAAGTAACATACTCTTTCTATTTTTGGAGTATTACTCTCTAGTAAGGGGAATTAACAGTACACAGATAAAGTATAGTCTAAGATTAAATGTGGTACATGCCAAAAGAAAAAGTACAAAAAGTACGAGAGTTGAGAAGAAAACATAAAAATTATTGGGGGGAAATGGGGAATGATTCATTTGAATTAAGCCTTGAAGGATGGGTGAGATGCAGAAATTTGACAATAGAGTGATAGTGTTCTAGACAGAGGAAAAACATGAGGAAGAATATGTAGTTTGTTAAGAGAATAACAAGTAATTCAGATTGTTTGGAGTGTTACCTGTCTGGGAGGGACCAGTAAAAAACCTAGGGCTAAAAAGAGCAGATTAGAGGCACGCGTTGAATGCCAGGCTAAAGAAATTGAATTTGTTTGATAGATTGTTGAGCAGAGAAATCCCATGCAAATTTGATCATTCTACTTCCTGCTTCAAACCTTTGATTACCTCCCTTTACCCTCATGATAAAATCCAGACTCCTTAATATGGTTTACAAGATCTTTTATAATCTGGTCTTTCATTAACTCTTGCCTCATCTTGCCATAATCCCCCTCCCAACCAACTTCAATTTACCATTCATTCATACTGGATTTCTTTTTGGAACCACCATGCTCTGTGGTTCTTTAGACATTGTTACTTCTGCCCAGAACTAACTAACTGCCTACGTTTTTGTCTAGCTAATTTATACTCATCTTTCAGGTCTTGATTTATCTGTCTGCTTCTGGGAAGTATTCCCTATCACACTCATTTAGCCTCTAGTGAAGGAGACTTACACAAGCAATTAAAGTGTGATAAGTGCTACGAAAGAAGAAGTTGTTGGTATTAGAAAATGCACAGACAAAGGGGATATAGGTAAAGGGCAAAGATTTTCTTGTATGTTATTGGATACCACGTGGCAGACACAGTGATTATTCAGTAAATATTTGTAGAATAAATGAATATTTACTTTGCTTTAGAAAGCGTAATCTGGTAGCAGTCTTTGGAGATGTGTTTTTCAAAATGTAGTCCCTGGACCATCAGAATCTCCTGAAGTGCTGATTGAAAGGGAAGATTCTAGGCCCTAATCTGAATCTGTTAAAGTAGAATCTCTGGAAATGGAGCCCAAACTGTTTGGGTGATTCTTATGGAAAGGGAAGACTGATGGCAGGGAGATCAGTTAGGAGACATATAATCATCCAGGTCATAGGGGCAAGTGTCTGAATTAGAGTAATGGTAGTGAAAGTGGATATAGAAGGTAGAAACTATAGGACCCTGCAATAGCCTAGATATGGAGAATTCAAAAGAAAAGGATCAAATCACAGGTTTAGAGCCTGACTAAGTTAGAATATAGTGGTGACATTCGTAGAAATTGTAAGCACTGGAGGAAAAGCGGGTTTGAGAGGGAAAAGGTTTGAAAGGACGAAAAATAGTAGGTTGAGTTTTGGCCTGCAATTTGAGACAGTACTGGGATATTAAGGTGGAGATGTCCTGAATGCTTTTGGGAATACAAGACTGAAACTGATAAAAGAATATAGGCAGGAAAGAAAGCTATAGGAATCAACTATCTGTTTGAAAAGTGATAAGGTGATCATATATGGTGAGAAAATTGATTATGATGAGGCCTAGGATAGAGCCGTAGGGAATATTTAGCTGATGAAATGTAGAAGAAAACACAGAAAAAGGACTCATCCATTCAGCAAATAGTCCATTCTTACTTGGTGCCTGGCAACTTGCTATGCATTAAGGATGCAGAGATGGATGTTATGGCTTTTGACCTCTAGGAACTTAGTCTTATATGGGAGAAAATATGTAAATAAATATACTGGTGGTGGTATATGCTATAACAGGAGCATTTACAAAGTGCTGTGTTGTGGGCATAGTAAAGGAAGCAGCCATCTGTCTTAAAGTGGTCAGGAAATGCTCCGTAAACCAGTTTATGCTGAATTCTACTGAATCTTAAAAGACATACCTAGAATCAGAGGTTTATTCTCTAATTGTAACCTGCTGTAATTGGTCTGTCTATAACCAGGGAAGGATAGGAATGACTTAATAAGGCCAGTCTGGATTTACTGCAGGAGTTAACTTTTTTAAGGTTATAGTGCATATTCTGTTGACTGTAGTCTCTTGAGACCTTTGGCTTTTAGGTTTACTTTAAATTTGAAATGTAAGAGTTTAGAGATAAGCTGTTTTTTAACCTACTTTGTTCAGTTCTAACATCTAGTATAATATTTTTAAAAAAGAATTATCCCTAAAGTTCCGTGAGGAAATGAGCTATTTCTGCTTCTCAGCAGTCCTTCTTTTTCATAAAATTATGAATTTGTCTTGCCGTTATTCAGCCTATTTATGAGATTTTCAGGTTATTTGAGAAGTGTTTATTAGGATATGAACTTGTTTTTGCCTTGTTCATTTTTTTACTTTTTATTTTTTATAGTTAGGTTTCTTTTCATTGCTGAGCCAATATTGATACTTTATTATTAACTAAAGTCCTTTGCTTACATTCGAGTTCATTCTTTTTACAGGTTTATGGATTTTGACAAATGTAAATTGTTATGTATCCAATGTTACAGTATCATACAGAATAGTTTCACTGCCCTAGAAATTGCCTGTGCTCCACCCATTCACCCCTCTTCCCCCTGAACCGTTGGGGCCACTGATCTTTACTGTCTATAGTGTTGTCTTTTCCAGAATGTCATATAGTTGGAATCATGCAGTATGTAGCCTCTTCAGACTGTCTTCTTTCACTTAGCAATATAAGGTTCCTCCATGTCTTTTCATGGCTTGATAGCTCATTTCTTATCACCGAATAGTGCTCTATTGTATGGATGTGCTAGTTTATCCATTCACCTGTTGAAGGACATCTAGGTTGCTTCCAGGTTTTGGCAATTATGAATAAAGCTGCTGTAAACATTTGTGTGCAGGTTTTTGTGTGGACTTAAGTTTTCAACTCTTTGGGTTAATATCAAGGAACGCAATTGCTGGATTGTGTGGTAGGAGTATACTGAGTACTGTAAGAAACTGCAAACTGTCTTTCCAAAGTGGCTGTACTATTTTGCATTTCCACCAACAGTGAATGAGAGTTCCTCTTGCTTCACATCCTCACCAGCATTTGGTGTTGTCTGTGTTTTGGATTTTAGCCATTCTAATAGATGTGTAGTAATGTGTTATTGTTTGGTATATATTTTACGTCTTTTTTTTTCCTGACTAGGATCTTTGTTAAAGTAAACAGGGAAAAGGTGAAATTTCAAAAAACAGGCTTAGCTAATTTTTAGTATAGTGAACTAAAAGTCTCCTTGGAAAAGGAGCTTGGATAATTTGTTGAAGTGGGGTTTTTAAGTTAAACATACATTTGGCTTATTGGTGATTATATCTATTCCCTGTTACTTGAGAATATAATACAATGTTTTGTCTATGCAGCTACAGATAGTTTTCAGTGTGGTGTTTGCTTTATTTTATTAATACTGATACAGCTTATTTTCCCCAAAGCTTCTCTAAGTTAGAGATTATAGGATCAGTTAAAGCAATTTTTTAAAAAAGTAATAAGTTCCTTGAGTGACAAATTTGTGATACAGAAAATAGGAATGTTGAAAAACTGTCAGTTGGAATTGACAGAGCCACATATAGCTTTAGACGTTCTGAGCATTACTGTCTTGGAAAGTAGATGTGTTCAACAAGAGCAGAAGTATTATGTGTCGCTATTTACAACCCGTTTTTCTAATCATTGCTAATTCTTTCAGTCAATGTTTATGGAGTGACTATAGTATATCAGGCAATTATTCTAGTTGATAAGGGTGCAGTGATAAATAAGATCTCTCTCTCAAGGAGCTCACAGTCTAATAAGGGAAATAGGAACAGTATATGATAAACTCTGCAGGGAACATACAGGAGGGGAAGTCACTTAGTCTCACCTTTGAAACTACTCAAGTTTTCTGGAGGAGATAGTTTCAAAATGAAAGCCTGAATGAGGATGTTCCAGGTCAAGAGAAAAAAAGAGAGAGAGAAAGAAACAGTTTGTACAAAGGCCTAGAATGAGAGCGTTCTTGGAGGATATACAAGTAGGTGGGTATGGCTAAAAAGAGTATGAAAGAATGTCATCATAGAAATTAAGAAGGCAGGTTGTGAAAGACCTTGTTACTAAGGAGTTTTGTTATGGAGTTTAAACTTGTCCTTGAGAACAAGATCTTGAAAGGTTTTCAGCAGAGGAATGTTATGGTCAGATTTGGTACCTTGGTAGGTTTTCAGTAAATGTCTTTCCCTTTATTCTTACCCTCCGTGATTCCATAGTACTGTGTGTAACAATAATAGGACGTATCACATTCTACTTTGTATTCCACTTGTGAACCTTTCAAAAAATTTCCCCTACTATATTATGAACTCCTTGAGGTTAAAATTCTATCTTGACTTGCATTACCCAAAGTGACTTATGCATATTGTATGCTTAATATGGTTGTTGAATGGGGGACAGACATCCTTTGAGACATCCCTTTTTGGGAGAAATCAGCAAACTGAGAAACCAATTCAGACTGAACTCCCCATACATTCTACTTCCCATTATAGATGAAACTTTGTTTTTGAATACTTGGAGAGAGTAAAACTTCACAATCTGGAGCATATACATCCTCACTGAATTATTATACTGTTTCAGGAAAGGATATTACCAATAGTAAACCTAAAAGTTGTTGCACAGTGAAGGCTAAAAAGGATCAAGTAAATGATGTTACCAGCCCGTCTCTAAATTCTTGTCTTAGTGAAAGGTATGATGAAGTTATTATATTAAAATATTTAAATGAAACATTTTTCTACATATGATATTTGTTTTATAGAAATGCATCTAATTTTCATGCTGATATTTTGGCTGAGAGCCTTTCAGTGGATCTTCTATTTTTAAATAATCTCCTCTTAGGTTGAGTCCTTTAGTGCAGTAATTTTTACATTAGAAAAATTTACTTTGTTTTTCTTATAATGTTGAATTCATTGGTCTTTCTGTATGTTCTATGAAATTTTTGAGTAACAAAACTATTAATGATGAAAAGCAGTGCCCTTGAAATGTCAGTTTAAAATAAATCATGTACTTTGAATCATTGGAGAGAATATGATGCTATTATATATATTCACTTTACATAATTTTTAAATTCAAACTATACAGTTCCTAACATGAAATTTAGTTTATATATATTTATCTATATTTATTTGGATATTACTTTCAATGGGCATTTTAAACATAATTTAGTGGTTACTTAATTTTTCATGAGCTATTTACTTTTTAAAAAGTAATATAAGTATTACAAAGTAGTATAATTCTAATAATTGATAGAACTGAGAGTTCTTTTTTTCAATAAGATTGGTTTTGGGGTGGTTTTTTTTTTTTTGCCATTTGTTATCTTTTGAATAATCTGAGAGATTCGTTTTGTTTTGTTTTAGTCCTGTTCTACGATGTACACATGTCACACCACAAAGAGAAAAGTCGGGTATGACTAAAAAACAAGGCTTTTTATTTTTAAAATACTCTAAATTTTAATAAAAATAAAATTTAGTAATTTTTCCCTTGTTTTACCTCCAGTGGTATATGGAAGTTTATTTCATACACCGAAGCTTATGAAGGTAAATATTCTGCCTAGTTTATTTTTATTGTTTAGTAATTGAGAACTTGACAACAGTGTCATACCTTTGCCCTATAATTTATAGATATGTACTTACAGCCTCATATGGGCATTCAGTAAATGATAGATGAAAAAAATAAGTGAATGAAAAAAATATTCTTAATCATCAGTGCATTTTTATGAAATAAATGAACTATTTTCTTTATTTCCAGGGTCAGACACCAAAACGTATTTCTGAAAGTCTAGGAGCTGAGGTGGATCCTGATATGTCTTGGTCAAGTTCTTTAGCCACACCACCAACCCTTAGTTCTACTGTGCTCATAGGTAGTACTAGCAAATGTGTATTATATAAAAGGTAGATGATATTGATAAATTGTTGTCTCTAATGCTTCTATTAAAAAGAAAATATGAAAATATAATTAGTAATTAGATTAGATAATACTGTCTTTGATAAGTGTTTTAGTAGTTCAGAATAATATTCTATTTAGTGTAGATTGGGATAAATCATTAATACATTAAATGGTATTCTGTAGGAGTCAATTTATATGCAAACCAAGACTTTTTGTGTGTATTCTAGCAAAAATACATTCCATTTTGATTCCTTTTAAGCTGGGACTTGAACTTTCTTCTTTTGTTGCTCAGATGAAATAATATAGGTAAAAGCATGTTGAAAAGTAAGAAGTGTTTGGGGCCGGCCCAGATGTGTAGTGGTTAAGTTCGCGCACTCCACTTTGGCGGCCCGAGGTTCGCAGGTTTGTATCCCAGGCGCGGACCTATACACTGCTCATCAAGCCATGCCGTGGCAGGATCCTACATATAAAATAGAGGAATATTGGCATGGATGTTGGCTCAGGGCCAATCTTCCTCAAGCAAAAAGAGGAAGATTAGCAACAGCTGTTAGCTCTGGGCCTCTTCCTCACCAAAAAAAAAAAGTAAGACGTGTTTAACATAGGATTTGCCTTTAGATTGTATTATCTAAATGAATGCTAAAGTCTACAAGGTTTAGCTTTTAAGTCATGCCCTCACAGCTTCAACTGATTTTCCAAGTCTTTGTGGACAGTATTCCCTTAAAGTCAGTATCACCAAACCATAGTTTCTTATTACTTTATGAATGGTACTAAGGAAGTGAGTATAGTTTATTCACTACGTTGATTGATCTTTCAGTCAACATTTGGGTCAGTCCATTTTGTTTCACATGTGTCATTTGTTTCAAACGTGTCATTTAATCTACTAGTGTATGTGTCTTTGATGTCTAACCAAAAAATACATAAGTTTTTGTATTAACTTTAGTGTATGATTTATAAACAGTATAGGTAAATTGAATTTTCTTTTTTACAGTCAGAGATGAGGAAGCATCTGCAACTGTATTTCCTAATGATACTACTGCTGTAAGTGAATATGACAAATTGGTTATCCTGTTACAGTTGGTTATAATTTTACAATGCCTTGAAAAATTTTTTATCTTGCATTTTTAATTCTCTAATTCATGATTTATCCAAGCCTTTGAGAAAGTCTCTAAACCTGTTTCTATATGTGATTTTCTTTGACTTCCTATGAAATCTACTGTTTCTCTTTAAGAGTAACTTGAATATATATACATAGTAAGAGTTTTTATACTAGTGAGTTTAAAATACAACTTTTGCAGATTTTGAAAAGCTATTTTTCTAAGTATGATGAAAGTCTGAAGAAAAATGATAGATGTATCCCTTCTGGGCCAGACAATGAAAACAAAAATCAGAGAGAAGCTAAAAGTCATGGTAAGTCGTTCAGTTTAATTGAACTACTATTTTTTTTATTGATGTCTTAATAGTTTTAAACATTGTGAAATTTTGGTTGTACATTTTTGTTTGTCGATCACCATATACATGTCTCTCTTCACCCCTGTGCCCACCCCCTACCCCCATTGCCCCTGGTAACCACAATACAGTTTTCTCTGTCTATGTGTTGGTTTATAGTCCACATATGAGTGAGATCATATGGTGTTGGTCTTTCTCTTTCTGGCTTATTTCGCTTAGCATAATACCCTCCAGGTCCATCCACGTTGTTGCAAATGGGACGATTTTGTCTTTTTTTATGGCTGAGTAGTATTCCATTGTATATATATACCACATCTTCTTGGTCCAGTCATCAGTTGAGGGACACTTGGGTTGCTTCCACTTCTTGGCTATAATGAATAATGCTGCAATGAACATAGGGGTGCATAAGCTTCTTTGGATTGTTGATTTCAGGTTCCTTAGATAGATTCCCAGTAGTGGGATAGCTGGACAATAGGGTATTTCTATTTTTAATTCTTTGAGGAATTTCTATACCATTTTCCATAGAGGCTGCCCCAGTTTGCATTCCCACCAGCTGTGTATGAGGGTTCCTGTTTCTCCACGTCCTCTCCAATCTCCAACATTTGTTGGTTTTTGTCTTGGTGATTATAGCCATTCTTACGGGTGTGAGGTGATATCTTAATGTTGTTTTGATTTGCATTTCCCTGATGATTAGTGATGTTGAACATCTTTTCATGTGCCTATTGGCCATCTGTATATCTTCTTTGGAGAAGTGTCTGTTCATTTCCTCTGCCCAT